TTGTCTACACTAACACTCAGATAGTTAATTAGTGTATCAATATAATTACTTCAATAACTAAATACAAATAGAATTAATTATATAATGTTTCTGTTTACAGTCTGAAAAACAATTTAAAACAGCAATACAGGGCAAATTTCACCACATTTTTGTAATCATGTAGAGCAAATATTTTCACCAAGTGAAGCATAAATAAACCTAAATACACAAAAAATAAAACTGAGGTTGAATGTGTCTGGATTTATGAGTCACTCTTCAGCATCACAATGAGCCATACAAACGCAGCAAGCTCTTTATTCTCTCTATTGCACTCGCAGCCAGAGCTGCCCAACCCTGTTTGACCCTGAAAATAATAAATAGATCCTTAGACACAAAGTTCATTCTCACAATGACATCATTAGGAAACTTTTAGATACTAGAGTCATTATCAAGTACTCAAGCAACATTTTTCCATTGTTCTCCAAGTCCAGGCACAACCCGTGTTTCTTTTTCTCAATAGTAGTGGCACACCATCTGTTGGTACACTCTAAGTCAAATATACATCCAAACATTTTGAATCTTTAAAACTTATTTTTTTCTTTGGCATTATTTTCTGTATTCTAAGGGTTGTTAGCTTTTCAGATTGATAAAATGTTGAAGAAAAGAGGAGGGTTACTCGATGGATTTTACACTTTAATATATAGCTAAGAAATCACTGGTGCAAGGTATGCTGCATCTAAAATGCAGCATTTTTATTTTCTGCTCTATGTCTTATTGACAGAAGAAGATCGGATGACACTATGAGAGACACACCATAAACAAATACTCAAGGTTGACCCCATGAAGACAGAAGCATGGCTTAAAGTGGTCATTGAACTGGAGCCACAACATTTTCCTTTAAGTGTTTGAGTGACATCTGAGAAATGAACCACAACATGCCAAGAGAGTCCAGCTCAGATTATAACTGAGTGTTGAATTATGATCAGTTTTAAGTTTATTTTAAGCTGTAGTGACTCCACTGAGACAGTACCATAAACATTGGCATACGTCTCAGAGGGGGCACAGGTGAGTAGGGATAACCATCTTGAAATTTACACAGTCACTTACAATCTTATCTAAACAAACACTTATCTCTTGCCCTCATCTGAGTTGTCAGATGTAGAGATAACAGAATAGTCGCACCACTTTGACAATTTTTCTGGCCATAGCAGAATTTAGGAAGGAATTTAGTAAAAAGCCTGAATATAGAGACATTTTCTGTGACCATTTATATCCATATATTTGGATGGATGCCTACATACATACACAGATGAATGTAACCCAGGGCAATACTGTGTACATAAACACATCTACTGTATGCTAACCCTGTGCAACAGTATGTGCATACACGTCTGTACATGCAAATTTGGTGTAATAGGGCGATGTGCAATCACAGCAGCACTTTATAGTTACAGGCTCGAGAGCAAATGTGCAATCTACCTCAGTAACTCATAATCATGTGCATTACTCAAGCACTTTTGAACTCTAATTCTCTGGCACTTTATGCCCCATAGCAGACACTTCAACTCTGAAGGTCACTTTATCCTGGTTTGTTTTTAACAATATAACACAACCGCTTTATAAGCTTGTATAAATGTGTCTGTCAACTAATGTACAGTTTATGTTGTTGTTTGACTCGTTACTTGTTGTATTGGTATTTGCTTGTCATTGTGGTTATATGTCATTTGTACCACCAACCTGCCGAGGCACTACAGATGGAGATTAGTTTAGGGCTACCATCGAGAATATTAACATGTTTATGTTCATTAATGTGCACTGTGTGTTAAGGAGCTAAAACCTGTGGGCTCATTCATTCATGTCCTTTATCGGGATATGTCTTCCTTTAATATTTTGGTGGAACAATATGGAACAACTATTATTTATTTGTTTGTATTTTTAAGTTAATAATCTGACTGGCTGTTTGTTTTCATTTGAATAAATTAAGATCAGGGCCATTGTGAGGATATTAGACAAAACTTTCTGCCTTCATTTTTTTTTTCTCAAACAAAAAAAGCGGAGAAATCATTAGGGTATTTGTATTGTCATTGAATCCTTTCAATATTCAATTATATTTTCTGTAAATATTTTGTCCTCGTACAGCGGTCCAAACTATCTCCACTCAGCCAGACAAAACATTTTGATGTGGATACTGAATCCTTTGTTTCTTTTCTCTGTTATTTAGGCACTGAAGGTCAAACAGATTGAGCCTAGACGTACGGGAAAGGGACTGTAATAAGCTCCCAAAGTTACCCAGACTTCTTCAGTACGTACATAGGAAATTACTTCACCCTCATCGGCATAAAAAGCTTGTTCCCACTGTTTCCATGGAGAATTACTGCACAGAAACTATAGTGAGAAACCCCCATTATCATCATTAAACAAAGAGGCAACATCTGTGATTGAATCTGTATGAGTGACATGGAAACATGTGATCACAGTGAGCAATCACCTCTGAAAAACATTCCTCAGCTGTTACATTTTCTCACCCGCATCACCCTCCATCTTTTGCTAGCATTTATCTGTGACTCTGTTATTTTAGGCTTTTTTCTGGCTTTTTTCTGGAGTAGAAAAATCAATTTGGCACCACATTCTCTCTCATTTGGTTCCTCCTTGGGCTGTTACAGCTGGAGTTGGCCTCATATTTTGTCTGCCATATGTTCTCATTATAGACTTGAAGAGACAACTAGTTCCCTGCTCCCTTAAGTCCACTTATTATTGGTATGGTCTTTTACAGTACTATGCTACCTGTATATTTAACATTTCACTTTAACATATATATCTTTGATTGCATAGCCACGAATTTGCATAGCTCTGGATAACCCCCTATATTGTTATTGCACATTTACCACTGTCATCACTGTTTTTGCAAACTTACATCTCTTATCTCCAGCAAGTATTTTTACATTCAGTTGACAAGCCTGAAAAAATGTTGTAATTAATGTTTCATTTTTTTAAACCAGTAGGAATGTTAAGTTAAATCCTTGATGTATAAATCTCTTCCTATTCTTATTTTTTATATTATAAGTGCTTATTTATGTATCTATGTTGTTTTATTTGCTTTGATAACCTGCTGCTGTAACACCACAATTTCCCAGTTTGGGATCAGTAAAGTTATTCTATTCGATTCTATTTGTTACCTGCAACTTTTACCAGTTGAAATAACAAGAAATTGCCACATTTTAGTCTTAACCTTTGAATATTACTTCTCCAACGAAATGGCTTTACAAGGACAGACTTATCTTAAGGATGTTCAAGATTGTATCTGACCCCGTGACCTCCTAATAGTTAAGTCTTGCTACACCGTCTCATCCCTCATATCATCAGCTAAGATTTCTATTTTTATTTTTTTGAAGCTGCTTGACTTAACATGAACTTTAAAGTTGGGAAAAAATGCACATTACATTTTACAGCATTACAAAATGTTAGAAATAAGAATCCAAACAGATAACCTGTAGTCTCATATTTTAATTATATGAGCATAAATATGTAGGCATTGTGAACAAAATAAAAATACAACACAGCATGATTTAATAACTTGAGGGTGTCTCCATTCTAGATATACTTACTTCCTTATGGGGAATATGAGGGTCCGGATATCCTGTACTGGAATCTGGATCAAAGGGTCCCACATCCTCAACCATCCTGGAATGTTGTGAATGAAATGACCATTTGAGTCAGGATGAAACAAAATATTTGTAGGGATCTGTCGAGAGTAACAAGGCTTAAAGGGCAGAACCTGTATTTGTTGTATGGGAGTAAACATACAGTAACTATGGATCATACAAAGGCAATCCCCCTCAACAGGTGTGAAGCTGTACTCAGATGTTATGTCAGAGGAAGTGTTAATGTAGTCTAAATGTTAGGTTTCTCATTAAAGAGACTTTGCTCTTTTTGCTCCCGCTGCTCAAGTGGTCCTGCCATATTGAATAACACAATGTAGCATTTTGTCATTTGTGGTAAATATATGAAGCCAATGTCTATACACATGTCTGGAGATCAATCTGTGTTTCACTGTAGGGCTTTAAAAACAACCACTTAGAAGCAAATGAACTATTCATATAGTGACTTATTATAATAGAAACACATGAAGGGATTTTTGAGTAGAAATAAAAATCAAAAAACAAATTACTCCTGATAAATCATCTCCAAGCAGCTGTCATTTTACTAACTCACGTTTTATGCTATTTTCTAGGTACACAGTTTCATCAGCTCGACTGGATTTGATCACTTCTGATGGCATTCTTCTCTGATTACTTCTGTGGTCAGGTATGTTTGACCTCTGAACCTTGTCAAATGGTTTTCATCTGCCATGCACAGCAGGTTAGTTGACCTTGAGTTAGGATTTCTGGCTGTTTGCAAGGTCAATAAAATACAGAAGGCTTTTTTTTTTCTTGGCTCATATGTCATTATACTTTAGCAGAGATGCTGATTATCTTTGACAGGAAAGGTCTATCTAAATGTACAAGAGCAAGAGGACACAGGGTCATCACGGAGACGACACACTGAGGTGAAAAGGGAGAAAAGAGGGGAAAACGTATTGAGATATAAAGCAGCCTGAGCCCAGTTGAAGTGTGTTGCAGGATAAGGCTGCTCTCTGGCGGCCGTGCAGACGTCTCGCATTGGGTAAATTTGTATTCCTATAGGCCCTATAAAATAGAATAAAGAAACTCGTGAGGATACTTAAATAAAATGCAAAATTGAAGACATTGGACGCGAATGCTAGCATTGGTTAGCTTTTTAAAAGAAAAGGAAAGAAAGGGAAAGTTTTCAGTCTATGGTCATGACTGGCAGCGTTCGTCGTTGTCCAGGCAACGAGTACACGGATCTTCTGAGATGTTGGAAACGGTAAGATGGACCACTTCGTCACCTTTCTGTAAAACCGAACCAAACTGTCGCTGGTTGGCCAGGCCTATACACCTGCTACTTTTCTCGAAACAGGAGCGAGTCCTCTTCGTTTTGCAGCAGCTACGGGGAGAATAAATATGGCAGGAGAGAAGTTTGAGCAAACTTTTTCTTTTACTCCTCTTCCCTCAAAGATTCCCTCCTTCCTACAGGACAAAGACATTTCAGCACTGTTAATGAAATGGTAACCGTAAATAGTTGGCGACATATTTGACAACTTTTCTAGTATACCTGTGTTAGCTGTGGTGTTGGTTGTCTTCAGGTCGTCTAGATAACGGATGCTTGTGTTTGTTCTTTTTTAGGTCCATGTTTGGGAGGATTTCCGCTCAGTGCTACAGCTTTGATCAGACATTTAACCCTTACAACAGTGACAAGTTCGCACAGGTAAAAACCCCTGATAATAGATAAGGTTGTTTCTCAGAATGAATTTAAAGAAGGCTATTAGCGTGTATCCATAGGGCAGACTATAGTCTCTTATAGTCACATAAATATCACCTATAGTTATCCATAATAGATCATTATAAGTGACTTTCATCATTCTCAGTGATAATGTTATTACTTTTTCCTACCCTGAAAATAGATTTAGTTCATTATTTGTATATATTTATTTATTTTGCAGAGAATGAAAAAAAATATTAATTACTGGTTTTGTATTTTGATAAAATATTGAAAAAGCATTGTCATCACTCTGTATGCAGTGTTTCTTCAAAGATCCAGATGTTTTTTCCAGTTTAAAGAACATAAAGGATGGAGCCTGGGTGCCACTAGGTATGACTCAAAATACTAATTGCAAGGAATTGATCTCATCTCCTGTACATTATATCAGTCAAATGTGAAAGGTATGTGTGTTTCAGAAAAGGAAGTAGTGTGTGTCTCTGTGGAGCCTGTGCCATGTACTCAAGTCTCCATGGACCTGTTTGACCCCATCTACCTCTGTGGGATACTGAAGCCCTCTGGATTTATAGTGAAATGCTTTCATGATGTCTACCCCGACTACGATGAACTTAGAAAGGTCACTCTCTCTTTTTTGCTCAACTGTCTGTATCATGTCTCCTTTTTTTTGTCTTTGTTGTTGTTTTTACATTGAGTGAGATCATATCTTTATTTGTTCCTCCAGATGTTGCAGGAGGAAGACTCTGAGCACTACTATGTAGTTGGGAGAGAGGAGCGAGGGGAGTTCCTGTTTCGACTCTTCAAGCACCTGTGTTTAGGAGGAGAGCTCTGTCAGTACGAGGACGTCATCGATTCATACATCAGCACCACAAAGCGAATCTACAAAGATCTGATCAGGTAGGTAGAACCTGAGCGCCTTTATGGTTGGGCTTGAAGTATCCAATAGGTTGACCTTATAATCACTGCTTTCATTATTTGTTCTAATATTTTATTTCTACCCTTTAATGCTTAGTGTTCAGAAGGATCCAGAGTCTCAGAAAATCAGTGTCATCTCCACAGTCCTCAAAGTCTGTGCCCATGTGAGTAACTGCTTGAATGTCTGTTTTTGTCACCTTTTATGCATAGACAAGCATATTTAAGGATTGACTTACAGAGTCATTATAGAGAAACATTATTATTATTTTAACCTTTATTTCACCCAGAGTTATCCTATTGAGTACAAACATCTCCCTTACAAGGGGAGTCTTGGCCAAGACAGCGTCAAAGACCAGACCATAACAAACAAAAATAACATCATTCAGTAAAATGAGTAACAGCCACAAGTAAAACAATGACTACTTCTGACTGGCTAATGATACAAAGCCATTGTAATATATCTTGTATGTAAATATTTAATTTGTTTACCAAACCTCTGCACTTATATTGATTCATACACAGTGTAACTTGGTCACCATAGAGTGTAAGAGATAAACTGGTATCTTACCAACCACACCATTAGGAAAACATAATGACCATGCTGCTGTGTAGAAGCTCTATATTAGGAGATCTATGTACATATGAGCTGTCGTTCCAGGTTTTCAAGAATGTCACATTTTGTGGTTATCTTTCACATGGAAAGGAGTCATAGTTCTTCTCATTATTTGCACTCATTTGATATTTTTCTCTTAGGATGACTCTGGATGTTGTTACCCTGGAGGGCGGGAGGAGGAGCAGACATTTGCCTATTTGATTATTGACCCCTTCAAAAGACATGTGACTTTGTTTTATCACTGCTTTGGTGTCGGGGATTTCTCACTGTGATAGCAGAGAACAGATACATGGGGAAAACTGTCCCATGTAGAACTTACTAGACTCCTTTTGGAAATCTTTTTTTGTATCAACAAAAAGTCAGATAGGGATGTAGATGTCTGCTGCTATTTACACATAAAGATGCACAAACCTGTGTGTCTTTTTATCTAGTTTGTATACCCGTACATGATGGTATTTACTTGTATTCTGATTCTAGTCTTTCTTGCAATAAAATTACTATTTATAATAATTTAATGCTTTTGAGGCTATTTCATAATTTTGTGTTCTTTTTGTACACAGTGTTAAGATAGGCCTATTAGTGAGTTTTGTCACTTTCAACTTATAAGATAAAAGAACGGTGGTATAGTGGTTATGTCTGCAGCCTCCCAGAGGTTCAGGGATCGAGCATTGACCTTAATGCTTTTAGGTTTGTGCGGGTGATAACACAGAACTTTCCTGTTCATAGCTTTTTCCATGACAAACAATGAAAGGCGTTTCACCTGTTAAGTCAGCTTCACTGCAAACTCACTGCAGACCATGCATTTGAGCTGTTTGAGAAAGATCCAACGAGTGGTGAGTGTCCATAACAGGCCTACACAATGCTGCTGAACACAAAAAGGCAATACAAGTTCAATATAAGATTACATAATTCCTTTGTGTTCCACTTTTCACTCTCTTTTCAATTATTTAAACTTTTCATTTTACCCTTTTTCTTTATCTTTATCTTTTTATTATTTTGGGAATGTCCAAATATTTTTAATTTTCTGACTGAGTTCTACCAATAGAAGTAAAAATAATTATAATTTTTGTAAATGTCAAACAATATGCTCATGACAACACTTATAATGCTAAATCAAAAAAGAGACAAAAGCCAGCATACAGTCCAAAGAGCTTTATTAAAACAAATAAATTAATAAGTTAGTAATTTGAGCTATTTCTAACTGCAGACACATATTTCATATCTCTTTAAAGATCCAATACAGGTGTACATTAGACTAGAAAACAAGATAAGCTCCAAAGTTATTCAACGGCTAAATGACTTAAAATTGGAAGACTCTGTTGGGTTTGCTTATTGCTTTGATCAGTTTTTGTTTCATTTTAACAACTATTTCAAAAACCTACAAGAGCGGTTAAAGGGCAACGAGCTGGAATGTCAAAATGGCAGCAAGTCAATGAATCATGGATAGACATCATGAAGATTAACAGCGAGAAGAGGAGAACGTGCACATCGAGGCATGCATACTGTAGCATTCAGTCGGTGAGACAATCAGTTACTGGTTTTCATACTTGGGTTTCTAGACTAGCTCCCCCTAGAGGTAGTTGTATGGAAGCCATATTTCTCTAAGGTGACATGCTTATGAAGGGACACACATGCCCGCAGAGCTAACAGATGTTCATGCCTCCTGGTGTTTAGGTACAGTGAGGGTGTTGATGCAAGGAGGTCCCGGTAGAGTCACAGAACACAGAGAATATTCTCAGAAAATATCAAAGATTGCAGCATTCATTTAAGACTTGTACCTTAGAAATCACGTTTTGAAACAATTTTTGATTTTAGATCTAGAAAAGATCAAAAAAAGCATGGCTATTCTGTGAACTAAACATTTTAGAACGAGGAAATAGAAGGCACAGGTCATTTTCTTTCATGTTTTGACTCGAGACTTTTACAGGAGACATCCTAACGTTGTTTTATTCCTCTAATACTGGGGCCAACACTGACAACAACATGCAAACTGCCATACATTTTGATGAAGTTCGACATTTCAAATGACAATGACATCATATCTAATAATGCCTCTGATTGGTAAGCATCTCTTCTATAATGTAGGCCAAAGCCATCTATTATTTTGTTTGGAAAACATTCAGAAATGACATAATGCCAACTCTCTGATCATACATAGATCTAAATAGACTGAGCTATGAAGTTTAGTTCTGATTATAATGGAAAAGTGGAGCTCCTGAGTCAACTGGCTTGACTGATTCAATTAAATGAATCACTTGCAGGGGCAGAAGAAATGTTTTCTCTGGCCAAATGCAGCACAATGATTTGTTGCTGACATTAAAGACAGACATCTCTTTGTGTGAGTCGGATCAGCTGTGTGTGGTTAAAGTTGTGTCATCAACCATGATTCAACTTGACAAAAAATACTACATTTATTAAAAGATCATATTTGACTTATTTAAATATATTATTTATAATCCTACATTCACTTTAATAACCAAAATCATTCATAAACCATCTATCATAAAAAACATTTTTACTATCATAGGTTACACAGAATTGAGTGCATGAACAGAATTACAGTAAACAATCAAAACAAAGACAAAAACATGTCATTTATATCAAGTGCCAAAGAACTTAAGTAAAGCAATTGCTTTCAATGTGTATTTTGTGTGTGTGTTTGTGCATTTTGCACTCTCCAGTTTTGTCCAAAAGCACAGATTTGCATCAAGAATCTTGAGGAAAGAACCACAAATTTGATTAAAAAGGACTGGAAAGGATAGTTGAATCCTTGCAAATTTTTTGAAGCTGTAAGACTGGATCCACTTCCTAAGACTTTTGCATTCATGAGGACAAAGGCCTGGAGTTCATGCATTAGACCAGGAAGCCTTACAGTTTTGTTTATGGAATCAAAATTGCACAAAACTGGCCGAGGAGTCTCTACAGGTGGTGACTGCAGTAGACTAAGAGAAAGGTTGTGATGAATATTAGGCTGGATCTCTGAATGTCAAAATTCTGACGAAGGATCAGTAAGGTTTTATCTACAGAACTAGTTCATGGGACATGCAAATCTGGAGGACAGGCTGCAAGACAGAGAGGCTTAATGGGTGTCTTTATGAAAAGGTTACTGAAGTACTAAAAAGCAAAAGTAGCCTTTAAACAAAGCGAAGAAAGGATTTTGGACCTGTGAAAGTACATTTAACTCTATTATATCCTAAATAAATAGGACTCAAATGATCGGGCAAATGGGGAATAGCATCCCTTTTTTTTGCATGTGGGCTTGTTGGAAACATAAAAGATGAGACCAAAGACAAAACACTGTACACATCAGCCGCTTCAACACATTTTTCCTGCTTGCATTTTACAAGTTTGGGTCACTCAAATCTGGATAAAAACATTAAAAAGCACTTGTTTTGGGATGCAAGTTGTATTGCTTTGGAGGTTTGGTTGATTCGGTCAGTGTGTGTGTGTGTGTGTGTGTGTGTGTGTGTCCAGTCTGCCTGTCCAAGTCTGAGGGGGCAGAGGCCCATGTTGAGGGATTCTTCTGCACTTTCTTTAAAATTCTTATTTTACAGTATGAATGCACAGTTGAGCAAGGAACCCATGTCATCATTCACATCACAAAGTGGGCAATTCTTAGTCAGTTCATTCAAGCAGCCAAGAAAAAAAGAAATGACAATGGGGGAAGATGTTCTTCAAAAATTACAAAAAGCCACAGCCAAAGGTTTCCATATCTATATCTATATATATATATATATATATATATATATATATATATATATACACATATAAACATATATATATAAATATACATATATACATATAAACATATATATATATGTAAATACACATTATAATGATATAATGAGGTTGGTGGGTGAAAGTGGTTCAGTAGTGGTTCAAGTCTTTAATGTCTTCTCATGTTCAGTTGAGAGGCTTATGTGTGGTCAGCTTTGGCTGAGGCTCCTTCACAGGTGAAGCCCTCTAGTGGCCTCTTTCTGTATCAGCTCTGGCAACACATTCACTCCGGTAGAGAGAGGAGGTATGAAAAGAAAAAAGACATATCCCAGACTGATATGAAATCAAGTGAAGAGCAGACATTTGAGGCCTCAGCTGCAGGAGGACGTTCTGTAAAGGGTTTGTATTCAAACAGCCCCAAAGACTGCTCAGGTCAATGTCCTTCCAAGTTTCCGCTCTCTGACATGGAGATGTTGAGTGTGTTTGCGGAGGGGAAGAGGTCTCTTTGGTCCGTGGGGCTGTGGTAGTCGGATGTCAGGTCCGGGTCCAGGAGGGAGGACAGCGTGACGTTGGAGGAGCCTTTCTTTAGGCACTGGGAGTAGAAGTTGAGAAGGAGGTCCAGCTTGTTCTCTATAGACTGGACCTGAACAAACACACACACACAAATACAGGTAGGAATGTGTGATTTTTATCTGGCATTCTCTTTTATCCTGTTTTTCATGACATCTAAAGACTGTTTCCTGTCCAGATAAATGTATATATACTGTATGTTTTTCTAGTAGCATTGCAACACCTCTTCATTTGTGACTTTGTTAATCAAACCCTCTTGGAAGTTTTACAAAAAGAAAAGTTGTACGGCAACTTTCTCTTCCAAACACTTAATGGCATTCTGTCCTGCTGCTTTTTGCTGTCATGATTTGGTCTCATTTTGTTTTGTATTTCAGCGTTTAGGTTTCCATGTTTTTATTTCTTCTGTCCATCCAAGTGTGGCTTGTTTCCCCTGTGTGTTTTTGTCTTAATGTTTCATAGTTTAGTCTAGTGTTTCCTGTTTTATTTTGTAGTTTCTTATCCTTGTGTTTCTTTGTTCTAGTGGTAATGTTACATTCTTGAGTTCTGTGTGTCATTAGTGTTTCATGATTTAGTTTGTAGTTCTCAGTGTTTCTTGTATTGTCTTCCTGCCTCTGTGTGTTTCCCTCCGTGTTGATTACCCTCATTTGTCTTCACCTGTGTTATTAGTCTCACTCTGTGTTCCTTCCTCATGTTGTCAGATCATTGTTGTAAGTTGGCTGTGTTGTTTGTTGTATGTTGGAGTGTCAGTGTTTCCTAGTGTTTCTCAGTGCTTATCAGTTTTTGGATTTTCTCAGTTTGGACATTTTGATAGGAAGTTTTAGTTTTTGTCTTTTTGTTTAAATAAATAGTTTTATGAGTTTATTCTGCACTTGGGTCCACCTCCTTGTTTTCCCACACCCGTGAATTTGCGCTTCCATTGTTCTTTCGAGCCGCTTTTTGCCTGATCTACTAGATTATCGGTAAACGAATGCAATCCATTTAGAGAACACCTCTCAGATCAGACTCTGTTACCTGTTTCTCCACCTTGACTACACGGCCCATCATGCTCAGCTCATCCAGTGGGTCCAGTTCTGGCGGTGTCTTCTCTCCCTTTTCAGGACGAGCCTTCTTATCAGGCTGGACGGCTCCTCGCCCAATTATCTGGTCGACCCTTTTTTTTTTTTTTACAAAAACAACACATTATAATGAATATGAACGAGCCTAAGAAAAACAGATAAAGAATTCTGTGTATTTTTCCAAAATGTCAAACATTTTACTGGAAGGCACAGGTAGCTCTGAAGGCCAACAAGAAAGTGAAGTAAACAAATATTATAATAAGAACAAAAACAACAATTACTCATGGAAAGATCCAACAAGGGACCCTTCAGTTCTTGCCTAAACACATAAAACCATTATTCTAACTCAGACTTTTCTCCACAAAGAGGCAGTTTTCATCAACAGAGCAGCACACACCTCATCTGCAGGCTTTTAATACGTCCCAGCATGTCCAGGTGTCCTGCAGAGTACTGCTCTATGACGTCCTTCACATCATACGGGCGCAGCGTCTCCTTAAACTTCCTCTTGGCCACAAGGAACTTCAGGATCCTACACAAACACACACACAAACCAGACTCGCTGTTAATCCCCACAATGAGCCTCACACACCACACGCACACATGGGCGTACTGTAAACCTTTAGAAAAAGCAGGGGCAGGACAGCTATCGAACGATCCGGGGACACCCTGAGAATAAGAAGATTAATTGCAGCCAGAGTGACCTTATCGTTCACAAACAGCCCCATAAAGAGAGAAGCGATGCTTTTACTAAACCATGTGGATATATTGTGGTGATGACAACATCTCCAGGAGACATTTACGTGTTGCTGTATCAGCAATTAGCACAAACCCACAGATAGTAAAAGGCAACACACACACAAACAGAAATCTGTAGAGGTTTCCCTGCTTTTTTGCTACTTTGTCAGTACAGCAGCAGTGTTGGTGCCACCTTTGCTCCACAGCCGCTCTCACTCATCCACACCCACATCCAAATGTGTGGAGGAATCACACGGAGGAATGTCGACCCAGCGCTGCTGAACACATTACTGACAACACCCTGTGTCCTGTTTGGACGTTTGGCTGGTGGGGGAGCAGGATGTGCAGGAGATAATGGAAAGGACGAAGAAGAAAGTTTGTGTGTGTGTGTGTGTGTGTGTGTGTGTGTGTGTGTGTGTGTGTGTGTGTGTGTGTGTGTGTGTGTGTGTGTGTGTGTGTGTGTGTGTGTGTGTGTGTGTGTGTGTGTGTGTGTGTGCGTGTGTGTGTGTGTTCTTGGCGGGTCATTCAATTCCCCCTCTTATCACTTATGCGATTAGAAGCTCAGAGATGCCGACTCTGCAGAACATACAGAAACATCAAATGTAAGCAAGACAAAATACAGAGTCAAGCTGTCATCTCAATTGTTGATGGATTTCTCAGTGGATAGAGAGAGAGAGAGAGAGAGAGTGTGAGGACAATGGAGAAGTTTATTGTCCTACATTTTTTTCAAGTAAGTCCTATCCCGAAAAAAACAGACCACTGAATCCACAATGATACATGTCTATTTTTGCTCAAAGATCAAAGGTCTGGGAAGCGAAAGATCAGAAACACTCAGCTGTTCTGAGATAAACGTCGCACACATTCACAAAAAAATACAAAACTATACTAACACTATAGCATTCCCCTACACACTCTTATAGTGAGAAGCATGTGCACACCAACACAACTACACACACACTCGGGACAAGCAGGAGCAAAGTGACATTTGAACTTAGACACAGGGTCATTTTCTAAAAGAACCTTTGTTGAGGTCTGCAGCGCTTGCACTACAGCAGCTACAAACAGTTTTGTGCAGAGACAACTTGCTGCAACAAAGAAGAAGAGGAGGTGTGAGTTGAAGGAGCAGCGGAGAGAGAGAGCAGGAGGAGGAGGAGGAGGAGATGCAGGTTTGCAGCTGGTGGCCTAGCAGCCATCAGCGCACTTCCTTCTCACGCAGCACTCTCTGTTTCTTGATGACTCCTGCGTTTGGGGTATTTTTTTGCAGGAGTCCTTTTCTAATTTTGCAGGTAGATGCAGATTTCTTTTTCCGCCAGGGTGGGTCTCAGGTGTGGGTGCAAGAAAAGGTTGGGGAAACGGGATAAAGGGTGGGGGGTGTGTGGAGGGGGGGGGGACTTTTGATTTGTATCCTCCAAGGATTTCCTTGAAATGCTGAC